ACTGTGTCGTTTGCCAGGGGTGCTGGAACGTTCCATCATTCTAAGCTTCTGTACACAATGAAATCACTGGAAATGAACTCGGAGCAAAGTCTGTAATCCTTCACCATCAAATGATCCCAATTATTCTGTGGAGAGACCTTATCCTGCTCAGACTACATTCTCCTGAAGAAAATGTATGTGGCGTTTGTCTGTGCAAAACTCATCATGATGCTAAGCGGTTGCTTACTGGTTGTTTACAGGTCCAAGTCAGAAGAGCCCTATCAAAAGAGTGTCTATGATATTCTGGTCCCCAGATATGGCCTAAAGGATGTCTACCAGGAGTGAAATTCTCAAAGATAAAACCTTAAGACGTTTGGCATAATCTATCATTATTGTTTTATAAGAAAACAGCTTTACTACTTAATATTATTTAAAACTTTTGTCTGCCAAAAAATAGTGTTGTGCAACCAACACGCAGAAAGAAAAAACACAGATCACAGAGAGGTCACTATATCTTTTAATATATGTTACATTACATCAATTGTTCACCAGTGGATCCTCTGCAGGGAATGGGTGCCGTCAGAATGAGAGTCCAAAACAGCTGATATAAACATCACAATAATCCACAAGTAATCCAAGTGAAAAGCTGCGTGTTTGCAAATCCATCATTCAAATGTTTTAACCATTTTAAAATACCAGTCCATAATCCATTATAACAGATTTTCACTTCACAAGTCATTAATTGATGGACTGGATTGGTACTTGTGGATTATTGTGATGTTTTTATCAGCTGTTTGGACTCTCATTCTGGCGGCCCCCATTCCCTGCAGAGGATCCATTGGTGAGCAAGTGATGTAATGCTACATTTCTACAAATCTGTTTCGATGAAGAAACAAACACATCTACATCTTGGATGGCCTGAGGCGGAGTAAATGTTCAATAAATTTCCATTTTCTGGTCAATTATTCTTTTAATATTTATGATAGGGATGCACCGATACCACTTTTTCCAGTACTCGCCCGATACGCATCCCTAATTTATGAATAAATAATATGGAGGGACATATGTAAATATACTTTTTAGTTTTACCTTAACGTCTTAACTTTTTTTTTTGAGTCAATAAATTAAAACTTTTCTTCAAAATATTTTAATTAAAAGTTTTTCAAGACCACAAGAAACTAATTTTAATTCTGGAGACTCTTACTATATATGTCAATGACCCATATGACAGATCCTCAAGTTATTACATATTCAGCTCATATAAATCATTCGTTTTTCTAAAGAAACACTGTCCAACAGCGACACCAGCAGGTAAAGTTACAGCGGGAGTCCGCATCTCTCTCGCCTCCCCTGAGCCCATTGACTTTTAACAGACCCCCTAAAGCATGCGTTGAATTTGCTGGGGGGTAATTGAGAATGAATGGGGGAAAATCACGTGAGAGGAGGCAATGGCTCCATCGCGATATGATTGGATATGACTGGTTATTATTGGCTGTGATTGGTTCATGCGATAAATCCCGCCTCTTGTGTCTGTGCGTGTTCACGAATCAGTCCGAATGAACAATATAATGGCGTTAATGGGAAGACTAATTTAAAAAAGTGAGTAAACAAATCACACACTTAGATATAACCACTTTGTTACGTTAAAATAAGATTTAAAATGGCATGAAAACATGATCTATGAGAGTTTTTAGTGAGTAATCAGCTTGGTGAAATTTAAAAGTAAATCTCTGTGTCTGTGACCAATATTTATCGAGCTTTGATGACTGATGATCCAAAAAATTCAAAAATAGCCAAAAGTTAGCAATTAATAAGAATAGCTGAACATAAGTTCACAAATACAATTTATTGTTTAAATTGTTACTGCCTTGAGTTATTATTTTGGAATAAATGTAAAATGCTAAAAAACACTAACTTGAGATTTATACTTGGCTTTAATAAACAGAATGTTGATTAAATTGTTAATGTAAAAATATAAAATAGAATTGTTTCTGATAGTGACAGCAACATGAATTTACATTTGATTTAAAATAAATAAATAAAAAATTTGAGGACTTTGACTCATTTCAGAACACCACCGCACACATTGATATATACAGTATATATATATATATAAAACCTCATTAAAGGGAAAAATTTAAATAACTATTAATATATAGAATGGCTTTATGGTATTTAGTCTATAAACACATTTATTTAGTATAAATAGAACGTAATTTGGCCTATATTTCATCACTCCCTTAATACATTCAATAGGCTGAGACTTGAAATTCAGCCACGGGCCGGACTCTGGACACCCCTGATGTAGAGTAATCACACACATACACGTACATGCCAGTAATGAGATCAAGACCTCTTGTCAGTAGTGTGTTGTTTGTCTGCTGCAGGATAGCACGTATGTAACTCTTCACTCATCCAGGAATGTGGGAGGATGTTGAGTGACTGTGACTCATCTCATACTATATGTGCTGCTGCACGTGTGAGCAGTCTGAATGATGTCTATGGAAGTGCACATGGAATGTGACACGTCGTTCCCTATAGTCCAGTCTGCTATGGGATCTGCAGTCATATGATATGACTCATTTGCATCCTGTTTTACTCAAATTGCTGCACTAGCACACTGTTTGCTGTGAGGCAGGAAGGGGAATGTGTCAACTTCCTCTAAACCAAAAGCTTTATTTGAATTGCTTTCTAGGAATGGTTTCAAAACAAAATTGCTTTTCTGTAAAACAGAAGTTGTGATCAGCATAAATATATAAAAAGCATGATATTACTATTCCTCACACTAAAGGTTAGAGTTTCAAAATTTTAAATATTAAACTTGAGCGAAGAACATGAATGATACACTACTCGTCAAAAGTTTGGAATAATAAAGATGTTTTATTTTTTTGGAACAAGTCTTTTTTTGCTAACAAAGGCTGCATTTACATGATCAAAAATACAGTAAAAATAAAGTAAAATGTAAAACATTTTCTATTTAATTTTTTAAATTTAATTTATTCATGAACTATATCCAGGATTCATCTAAGAATCCAGAAAAAAAATGAATCAAGGTGTCCACAAAAAATATTAAGCAGCAAAAACGGTTCTCAACAATTATTAATAACTGTGCGCACCAACAATAATCGATAATAATTCAGCATCAACTCATATTAGATTGATTTCTGAAGGATCATGTGACACTGAAGACTGGAGTAATGATTCAGAAAATTCAGCTTTGCATCACAGGAATACATTTTAACATATATTCAAATAGAAAACAGTTATTTTAAATTGTAATAATATTTCACAATATTACTGTTTTACTGTATTTTTTTATTAAATAAATGCAGCCTTGGTGAGCAATAGAGACTTCTTTTAAAAACATAAAAAATCTTAATTATTAATGTACCGCAAATATAGCTAGCAATCAAATGTACAATTTATGCTTGGCAAATAATAAAACTGGTGAAAAAAATCCCACACAATGACAATGAAAGAGGCATATCTAGAGACCATAGAGATATCATAGAGACTTGAAATTAGGCACTTTTCAATCAATACAGTTAGGAACCCCCTATCAACCAGTCAGAACACCCAAGCAACACCCTGAACAGCTTATCAACCACACAGCAACCATCAACAACACCCTAACAGTGTGATCACATTTATACAGACAAGCATTGCTCAAATTTTCTTCAGAAAATTCAATAATCCAGTTACTTTTACTGCAGAAATATATCCTATCTCAGCTGCTTGTCAGTAAATCTGAGTCAAACAGAAATCCTGTGGCCTCCTCCTGTTTACCTGGCCTCGTGGGAAGGCATCCTGGGGAAATTGCACTTGTTCAATATGGGAATGATGCACTTCACATCTTCCCAGCACATTTATTTCTGCAGTGTTCACAGAGCATTGCGTAAGTTCATCTGGCTGCAAAGTCAAATATCATCCATTGAATGCTCTTTTTCCATGAAAAAGAATTGAGCACAATGGGTCTCCTGCTCTAGTGGTAGCAAAACAACTGCAGACAAATGAGGAAAAGAAATGAAATCAGCAGGTGGTTCACCTAGACCTAGACTTCAAAAAAAGATGGTGTGAGACCCCAGTGTGCCTGGCAAACAATTAATTATCTGTCAGTCACAGAACTGAATGTGCAGATAACAAGTTTACTTTCAAGGGATGTTTCACCCAGAAATAAAAACGTTGTCATTGTGTATTCACCCTCATGTTATTTCTCTTATAATTTTATTTTTAGTTCTTATAATCACGTAACACGTAAGCAGATTAGTGTCATGCTGTCAAACCTTTTGCAAAACATCTTGATGCACCAAGTTTGAATATGCAAATTTTGACTGACGATTCTTCATACAATTCATGTTACCTACTGTAGGTTAAGCCTTATACACATACACCTAATTTATTCATATTTAACTTGGAATCATATAGTCAAATAAGGTTATATGAATTCCTGAAAAGAATGTGGACTTATTTTAAACATCTTAATTATTCCAATATTATTTCAAATTAATTCTTTAAAATATTTATATTTTTGATAGACTTTAGTTGTTAATATAATAATGCTTTGCTGTAATATAACATAATATAGTTTATATTTAAAACTATATATTAAAAAGTCCATAATAATAATAATAATAGAAAACACAATAATACACTGAATAGACTGTGTTGAAACAATGTAATTAAAACACACACACACAGTGCATCTGTGTTCCTCAGGTTATGAAAGAAATTCATGTATTTGAAATGACATGGGGTGGGTAAATGATGAAAGGACTTTTATTTTCAGGTGAACTATTAATTTAAATGAATGAAACTGTATTGCTCCCACAGCCTGCAGCATGGATGTGCAAAGCTCTGATACGGTTCGCTTCACCCTCAGGACAGCATAAAACAAATGTGTGTGTGACTGACAGGCTGAGTAAGTGTTTGCAAGGGCCCCCCGCCGATAAAGTAGGCCAGAGCTGGCCCGTAACCCTGCGGCACAGGAAATGACTGGGATGCCATAGTGCATCTCCACTTCATCGCATGCCAGACCTCTGCTGGGCTTGCACAACTTTCAGCTCCAGAACCCGCAGCAGCTGGACGAAACAGAAGAAAACAAGATTCTGTAAATTAGGCTTATTAATGAGCTTGTTATGAGATTGTTTTAAAAACGATAAGGTCTATCATATTCATTGTCTGGCGAGACAAGTAGAGTTCAAGAGCACTGACTCTGGCTCCATTCTTACGTCTGTATTTAAACCCGGGAGATGTCCTTTATGTCAACGGTCGTCAACAGCAAACACCCGAAGAATGCACAACAAATATGTATTAACAGCTCTCAGATTTTCCGAGAAGTTGCGTAAAATCAGGCTAGCTCCGCTGGGATCGCCAGCTTCTTCCACATCTGTCGCACACTGCAGTATGCAAAGCTGCCGACCTCAAACAAATGGAGCCAGAGTCCAGACGCCTGAGGTCATGTGCATGTTTGGAAGACAATTATATTGTCTACATATTATAACAAACACTTGGGAAAAAACAATAAATGTCATCTAGCTTTTAAACAAAAGCAATGAACGGATGTCACAAGCGTGTGATATATTCCTATGGTGCTTGCTGCTATCAGAAATACAAATGGAATGCACACAGATTTAAGTATTTGCATATCTTGATGTTTTCCTTCCTTTCCTTTTGTGAATTAATCTGATTCATTTATCAAATAAATATTTGCTTATCCTTATGCTCTTCTTCATGATTAATAAAAAATATAACTTCTTTATTAATACCTTTTGTGAATCAATCTGATTAATTTACCAAATAAATATCTGCAAATTCTGATGCTTTTCTTATTGATTATTAAAAAAGGAAACATGATTTCATTATTTTTATTTTTACTTAATTTACCAAATAAATGCAGGGTTGTCTGGTATCCATATAGTTGTATATACACTCAATTAATACCGTGAAAAGTTGTTATAAATATGTCTAAAATTTAATTAAAAAAATATTAAGTTAACTAATATTAATATTAAGTTGCATTATTACATTATTTTTCTACTTATTATACAGTAGTATTGTACTGGATGATATTTATGTATTTATGTATTTATTTACTCATATACGTCTTTTAATAAAACATTTTTAAATCTAATTTTCATCTATTTTAATCAAATAGTTTATAATTTTTTTAATTCATATTTTTATTATTATTATTATTTTTTTTACAATGTTTTTCTATAAACTTTTCTTTGAACCCTTTACCACTTGTAGTTCAATAGAAATTGTAAGAAAGGAGGACCTTGGTGAAACCCCCTTGTCACAAGGCCAGGGACAATAATAGCCCTGATTAAATGTAATTAAATTAAATTTTATACCATTTCAGAAAGTAACATGGCATGACAAAACTAGATTAAACTAGATTGCGTAATGTGGTGAACGACTAGACAGCTTTATTATTGCTGCGTTCACTTTGCAGTGTAGAACATTTAGTTCATTCTAGTTTGTTGCATCACTCGTAGTTTACATAAAAATCAAACACAGCAACAAAAGAAAAAAAGAAATCAAAAACAGATTTATGTCAAAAATGTCTGTGTGTCTGTGCAACTGTATCTCCAGCTATTCTTAGTGCAGATGTACTGTAATAACAAAAACATAACTCGAATAATCACTGGCGTCTCTGCTGTCTGTCGTAGCTCTTCATTGAAGGCGATGAGAGCACCCGCAAAATAATATGAAAGCAATTGGGGTGTCCAGGCAATCTGCTATTTTTGTTTGTCTTACAGCTCATCTGAGACAAATCCATTGACCTCGGCGCCACACATGAGATCAAGTCATGACAAACTATCCCGAAAATGTGAAGAGCTTTTATAACGCTTGTTGCCTTTGCACAATACAGCAGAGCTACACTACCACATTAAAATGATTAACAAATTCTTGCGATGCTTTCCCTGAACTTGTGAGAACGATGATCAAATATTTAAGCTATAAACTCACATTATTTGCTTTGTAATTGGAATTTTGTTCTTCCGAAAACAGCGCATACCTATCAGGAACCTAAAATTTATGTGAGCTCATCAGTGAAGATGAAGAAGTACAGCTCTGCAGCCACATCTGAGGTGGAAGACTTATGTCCTACATAAAACATAAAAAAGTTTCCGACAGGTACGGTAGTAACAGTGTCATTCTGATATGATGATCTCTGTTACATCCAACGAAGAGGAGAATATTCCTTCTAAAAACTGTATTGAAAGCTGAGTGACGTCATGTTGTAAAGGCATGTTCACACCAAGAACTATAACTATGATAACTATATTAGTGTCCACACCAATGGATGATAACATTCTCTTTATTATAAGCGCACGCCACAGTTATGTCACTGCCGCTTTAAATGCTCAAGCTCTTTAAAGCAGGATGGATTTCGAATGTCGTTTTAATTAGCAGTGATTCCCACAATGTCGTTCCTCTGTGCCGTGATAGTTATGGTTGTGGTCTCTGCTATCCTTTTAGACCTTGTGCAGTGCTGAAAATCTTTAACCTAATTTGGTATTCCCAATCAAACATGACTGGCCTTTTAAAAATGGTTTGTAAATCTCTCAATATGTTATATTATCTCCAAATCTTGGTTCTAATCTTTTTGAAAACTGGTTTTCTTTCAATTAGCACAGGTTTTGTATTACTTTTTGTAACCCTTTGGTCGTAGGCCTCAATGATCTGAGTGTATACACCTTATTTTTCGAGTGAAATTATATTAAACATTATTTTTTGGGATAATTCTGGCAATGTTTACCCAAAGACTGAGGTGCATAAGCTCAGATCAATGAGACCTATGATCAATCAGTTTCAGAAAGAAATACAAAAAACATGATAACCTGTGCTGAAAGAAAACAAGTTGATAAAAAAAATTGGATCCAATATTTGGTAATAACATAGTATAACAAGACATTTATAAGCAAGTTTTTGTAAGCCAGTCATTTTTTACTGGGAACACCATGTGTAACAAGGTAGGAGGGGGAAATCCCCCACATTTTTTTTTTTTTTTTTTTTTTTAAAATTTCCTTTCTGAGTGGTACAAGACTTTTGGTCCACTTGAATTTGGAACACACACACAAAAGAAAAAAAAAATCCTTCCCTCGCAGGTTATCATTCCGACCATAGGAATGAATGGAATGTCAAAAAATCAAAAGAAATGTACAAAAGTGATTTTATGTCCATAGAAAGCATATTAAATATAAGTAAAGTGTCTACTTATAAGGTTTCAAATAAGTTTTTGGAGAATAAAATGTTAAAATTTAGTTGAAATAATGTTACATTGTCATTCAGTGTAACACAATATTTATGTAAAAATTCAAACAACATGCTTATTCTGACTTGTACTTATTAAAACATATAAAAGAATAAGGGAGCATATTCAATTTGATTGTGTTTTAAATGAGTAAAAATTATTACTGACAAATGGGCAAAACCTAGGATAGTGGCAAATTTAAAAAAATTAAAATTACAACTAATTAGTATTTGGGGTGAAATTAATTAGTCTTTTAATATGTCATAAATTGATTTTT